TCCTCGACGGCGTGGACCTCGGCGAGGGCACTTGCCTCTTCGCCGTCAACGTCACGTCGCCCGACGGCCGGTCCGCGGCCGCGGCCGTGGTCTACGAGCTCGTCGACGACGACCCGCCGGCCGTCGAGGTCGACGCCTGGACGTCGTCCGTCGGCACGCGCGTCGCCGCGTCGAAGAAGATCGTCCTCTACGGCGACGCGCAGCCGTCGAGCCTCGGCCGCGCCGTGTCCACGGCCGGACGTTCAACACGACGTGGGTGCTCGAGCGGGGGACGCTCGCGGACGAGGCCCCGCTGGCCGTCTGGGCGCGCACGGCGCCGGCGCTCAGCGGCTACGCGCGCGACCGCGAGCACGACCTCGTCCTCGCCGTCGGCGCGATCGTCGCCGGCGCGCACTACTCGCTGCGCCTCGACGCGACGCTCGAGGGCATAGACACCGCCGGCTCGGCGTCCGTGACGTTCTACGTCGCGCGGCCGCCGTCGAGCGGCAGGCTCCTCGCGTCGCCCGCGGCGGGCTTTGCGCTCGAGACGACGTTCGAGCTCTCCACGCGCAGCTGGGTCACGGAGGACCCGCCGCTGACCTACGCGTTCAAGAGCCGGACGAACGGCTCCGAGTCGACGCTCCGGGGCCCGACGCTCGAGGCCAAGCTCGGCGGCGTCGTGCTGCCCAAGGGGTCGCCGAACGTGACGCTCGTTGTCGTCGCGGCCGACGCGCTCGGCGGGTCGACGGAGGCGCCGCTGAGCCTGCGCGTCGCGCCGACGTCCCTCGCCGGCGACGCGCTCGCGAATCTGACGACGGGCCTCCTCGACGAGGCCTTTGCGCTCGGGTCCTCCGAGGGCATCTGCCAGACCGTCGTAGCCGCGTCGACGGCGGACGGCGACGCCGCGCTCACGGCGACGATGATCGACGCCGTCGGCGCCGTCGCGCGGGGCCTCGACGCGGACGCGTCGCTCGTCGAGCAGACGAGCTCCGCGCTCCTGTCCGTCGCGTCCAACGGCAGCGGCCTCGCCGCGGCCGCGGCGTCGTCCGCGCTCGACTCCTGCGAGGGCCTCGCGGCCGCGTCGGGCGGCGACACGGGCATCACGGCCGTCGCGGCCGCGGGCCTCGGCGACACGCTGTCGAGCCTCCTCGACAGCCCCCTCTTCGCGGCGGGCAACGGGTCGTCGAACGCGTCCGCGGGCGCGTCGCTCGGGTCCTCGGTCGACGGCATCCTCGCCGCGCAGCTCGCCGGCGCCGTCGCGGGCGAGTACGCGATGACGCTGTCGTCGCCGAACCTCAAGAGCTCGGCGCAGCGCCTGAGCCCCAACGCGACGACGCCCGGCGAGGTCCGCGCGCTGTCGCTCGACGGCGCGGCGAGCGCCGCGGAGCTCCCGCCGAGCCTCGCGGGCGGCGACGCCTACGACGCGTTCCCCGCTGCGCGGCCATGTTTTCGGGGTCGTCGCCGCCCGACCATCGGCGCGCGCGCGCGCGCGCGCATCCGCGAACCGCCGGCCGGCGCCCGCGCAGGTCCTTCGCCGAGTACGCGACGGATCCCTACGCGGGCGAGGACGGCGGCGGCGGCGCGGCGCTGACGGCGCGCGTCGCGCGCTTTGGCCTCGCGCCGTCGTCCGCCGAGCCCGCGTCGCGGCGGCGCCGCGCGCGCCGCGCGCGGC